AGCCTGTGTTCTTTCGAATGAAGGGCTCATTGAGCACCTTTTCAGTTGAAATGAACATGCATCAACCGAATTGTATTTTTTCGTTTAGTGCATTTGTGAATATTGCTTTCGTTTTGTTTCCGTTAGTTATGAAAAATTTAAGTGAAAATAAAATATGAAAACTTACATCTTTGTAATGAAAAGTCATTTAGATGCCACCCTCACTTTTTATTAAATTGTCATTTGAACATCCGCATACAGACTCTAATTAGGTCACTCTATGTGCCTACCAAAATTCATCAGGATCTGTATTTTACAATCAGATTGACAACTCACCAGAAATGATAGCTATGGTTTTTTGGGCCAACCCTGTATATTAAAGTAATTTATTGGTGCAATGTGCTTGGTACTTTGCCGTTAGGGTATGAAACGCCGATCTCCACTCTTGTTAATCACTATTGAATCGAAACACTTGGAAACCAATGATTTTTTTAGACTTGAGTGACGTTTCGACACTCACATTCATCCTTATCAATGTTGTCTGAAAGATCCATACCTCATGGAAAGAGAAACATGTGCCCAGCAGGTTGATTCTGAATTAAATGAAGCGCTCGTATCAAGATCGAGTTCTATCAATAGACATGAATGAATGTGAGTTTTTGTAATTTAGTTGTTTAGGACTCATGGATATAGCAGAATGTTGGCAAATGAATATAAGAAGAGGAACGTTATATTTTCATATGAAGTGTAAACAAGAATTTTCACGTTGTTCTTGCAGCTTCAAATATGCATGGAACACATGAGTGATCAAGGTTGCACCAAGAAAGGTTGCGAATCATTGCACATTTGCCAAAAATACATGTATGGCCTTTGCAAAGATGAGAAATGCGAGACTGGTCATGATATTTTCACTGAGCACAATGACAACACACTCAGTGAATTGTTTATTGGAAAGAAATATAATCTGCAAGACGTGAAGAAATTACTGGAACCAGGCAAAGTTGTTCCAGATGTTTGTGAGGAATACAACACTCTAGGTGAATGCGATCGTGAAACCCAATGCCTGAGGATGCATGTATGTGCAGATTCTATCACCGGAATATGTAGCAGGCCCAAATGTCCCTTGAATCACGATATTCTGGATAAACAGTGTCACACCTTGCTAGAAACTGCAGATGTCAACACTCGAAAATCGAGAAGGGAGATGAGGATATATTTCAGAGAAAGATGTTCCAATTTGGAGGGCATCAATTCAGCCAGGTCAAGATTCCTGTGTGACACTCATGTGAACCAAAAATCACCCTCAGGCTACCCCACACCTCCGGAAGACAAACAGGTTAGTTGACTAGCTACTTTAGGGAAAGAGAATTACCACTACTCCAAAATAAAATTGGTTTTCCAAGTTATATCATATAAATGTGTATCATCATGGAAATGAAAGTCATCAGGATGGCATTGATGTACAGGCCAACGGGTAGTAAATATTGGCCATCGATTGTTGGTATGGGAGGATCTATGCGTCTGGGAAAAAATTAAAAGCAGTGCTATCCATGAGTGAACCTTTCATACAGCCTTCTGCTTGAGAGATTTGGCTTTTTAAGGATAGGGACTTAGACAGTTCAAACAAAGCGTTTCAGCATGTGATGTCCAATAAAAAATAATAAAATAATCCCATACCAACTCAGCCAACGTAATGGTTGCTTGACTCACAGACTTGCTTGATTTTTGGTACACTTGAAGCATTGTGGGAGGAGAAGTGCGAACACAAATTTTACTCAGGTCTTGAAACAGTCATAAAGATATGGCCCCCAAATATGTATTGGTGAAGAGGATATTGGGGATCACACAATAATTGATAACTTCTTCACCATGACTGAACTATAGTTTAAATGAAATCCATCAAAAAGACAATTTCAGAGAAGTAATTACTTCCAGCGGATGCATCGGATAGCATCAAGTGACTATCACGCAGTTTGCAAGCTCATTTCCTTTTGACTCTTTTTCACTGTTTCAAAAGTGCAGCATATTCTGTATCAAGCCAAAGCGTACGGATTGAATAATAACACCATGGGTTAGAGGGAGTAGACGCCTCGAAAAGAGCATTGCTAGAGGGAGTATGCACTTCATCTTCTTGTATTTTATTAAACCCTTTCACGCATAGTGTCCACTATAGTGGACGGCAAAATTGTTGGCGATGATGATAGCTTTTTAGCCATGGTATACATACATCGAAACCTTTGCTATATGCAGTCAACTCAAAGGCACGTAATCTCTTAAGTGTTGCAAACACCCCTTTGAATAATGACCAAACACCCATTTGCACCAACGGTCCGCGGTGCTGGCTGAGCGAGAAGTCCTCCAGTATTAGATTCGTTACTAGCACAATATAACCATTTATAGCATGGACTCAAAAATTTCTTAGACGAAGTCTCTTTAAATACCTCGAAGGAAACTTACCACGCTGATTGGCATCATGGATCAACGCGAGGTGATTGAACGCCGCCCAGTAGAGTAGCTCTTCACCGTTCGTCAGTTGGTTTGTTACACCACCCATCTATCACTGCGGTGACCTGAAGGGACCTACGAACAGCGTTGGATGCCTCAAAATTGGCAAGAATGTTAAGTTCCAAGACTCGCTTAGAAGGTTCAAGACATTCTTGATGTGAAAATGCCCACTCGTACAATGTCACAGAAAACTGATGAACTGAGTTGGCTCGTAATCTGCTTCCTCGCTAAGCGCATACAAGTACGAACCTTGCATAGAAGAAGTGGTAAACCAAATCGATGCCTGGAATTTCGAGGCAACTGGCTCCATCAATGGCTACACCTTACGAAATGTTCACCTACCTGGTAGATTAAGAACCAGGTGGATGGCCCGTTTGGCTTATGTCCACCTTTTGGAGCGATGTCCTCCTGGTTAAAATCCACCTGAAGGGAAACATTCACCTCGTTCAAGAAACACGCACTTGAATGACCGGGTGGATTCCCACCGGATGGAAATCCGCCTGGTTTCAAACCCATCTCCTGTCTTCCTGATATTTCAGCCAGGTGGATGCGGGTGTACGTTTTGTAAGAGCATGTGTCTTCCGCAGAAAGATGATATCGATATTGTGTCAAAGAGGAAGATTCATGATGTCATGTTTTGATACCAAAAGCCCTTTGACTGACCCTACAGCTCCAAAGTTGTGGCCATGACTATGAAAATTTGTGGTTAAAGTTTCAGCAACGGAACCTGTGGTAATGGCGTTGACATGAAGGCCAAGATCGAACTCGACCTAATTTGGTCAGCCGGCTGCATTGTTCGAACTGTTTAAATATTCAGGAGTTAAAATTACTGTATGTATGTTATTTTGTAAGCACCTTGCCATGATATGTTGAATTCAACGTCTCCCACGAATATAGTCGCAAATGATCACGCATGCGAATTATAGCCAAATTTAAGAAACTAATCACCAAAGTTAGCATAAACGTTTGCTTAGACCTTGACAAAGGCGTTATACGCAAATGGAGGCTTTAACAAGAGTACGCAAATCAACAGGTCCGGGAATGCAGGTGACATCAAGGGCACCCACACTTATAGGTATATATAACGAGATTAATGTTCACAAGATAAAATAATGCAATTTTCATCTAATATACACAGTACTAATGGCATCCAATTACAAGCAATTATCATGATTATAATTTCATTTGCGGAATATTGCCTTTTGCTGGGTCTACCTTTGTATGATATAGATTGGACGTGGATCTCTTGATATGCTTGCAGATCATGACATGTGAGAGTAATATAGCAAGACTTGGTTGCAACAAGAAGGGATGTATTTCACTGCATATTTGCCCGAAGTACCTTCTTGGCCTCTGTCAAGATGACCAATGCAAGATCGGCCATAATATCGACACAGATCACAACAGGCAAATCCTCAAGGGACGTACAGTGAGGAAAAACGATTTAGAAGAATTAAAGAAGCTGTTCAAACTGGACACGATTGTTCCAGATGTTTGTGAGGTCTACAACCTAAGAGGTCATTGCATTCAAAATCAATGCCTGAAGATGCACCTTTGCGCAGGCTGGATCGTGGGAACGTGTGGGAAATGCAATCTAAACCACAACCCTTTAGACAAGCAATGTAAAACATTGCTGAAGAAAAGCAACATTATAATGGGACAAGGAGCAATGGAACTCGCGATGTGCTTGAGAGACAAATGTATCAACTTAGAGAACGTCCTGAGTCAGAAGAAACTGCAAGAATCTTACGGATGGGATCGAAATATCGAAGAAGCCAATAAATTATTAATTGAACATCCACCCAAACATAAAGCGAACCCACAAGGACCTAAGCCCTTACCCCGTCGTCTCAGCAAAAGCACAGAACATTCTCACAGCAACATTAACGTTGAAAATGCACCAGTGAGTATTTTTCCATTTCATCTTAAATCGAATTTGTTAAATAATCAAATGGAGGTTGTTGGTTTTTTGAATGAAATGCCAAGGGTTTAAAGAAGAAATATAGAAAGTCATACTGAAAATCTTCCTAGATATATTGGTAGAACTCTAACCTCTTCACGTCGAAAGATCTGCTGGGACATCGAATCCTTAGAATGTTGAAAATTCACCTCAATATTCATGTCGCATTTTAAACCCCTTCAGCACACCTTTTGGTAGGTCATTGAGAAATATCGTAGCAGCTCTCCTTAATCGACATATATGTTGACATTTTGCCAATCTCCATCACCTGTATTCTCGTCATGACAGAAAAAAAAGTATTGCAACAAGAAGTAACGCAGTCTTTTTGATCACCCCACGTATATCTGAATACTTTTGAAGGTTCGGCAAATCAGATTTGAACTGCAGAGGGGTGGGAGAGCGTTCCTAGGCTAAGAGTGACTGGAGTATTATTTTCTCCCCAACTTATCGTTCATCACATAATATTTTTTCAATGCGGAAATGATATATTAAAAGTATAACCGTAGCTTTACCTCTTCACATTGCCTCGAAGGGTTCTGGGGGAGCAAAACAAGAGTTTCGACTAGCCCTGCAAATGAAGGAGCTTTGTAAACAAAAAGATGGATATATATATGAGCTACAACCGAAGAGAACCAACTCGGATATTAGGTGCCAATTACGAAAGCAGGAAATTGGCGAGAGGGGACCAGACGATGGAATTGGAAAGGTACTCATGCTCGTTGGGGCTACAGGAGCAGGTAAAGTGAATGTCTCATCTACAACTGGCGTCATTTTTCGCTAAGGCACAATGAGGATATATTAACGTATTATTTTTACAGGAAAGAGTACCCTCATCAATGGAATGGTGAACTATGCATTCGGCGTGCAGTGGGAAGACAAATTTCGCCTTAAATTGATTGTGGACGAAGAAAATGAAAGCCAAGCTTACAGTCAGACAAAGTGGGTCTCAGCGTACGTCTTGCACAAGCAGCAGGGAATGGCGTTTCCTTACACTTTGACTCTGGTTGATACCCCAGGATTTGGAGACACTGAGGGGATAAAAAGAGATGACGAATTGAAGATTCAAATTAAAGAGTTCTTCTCAAATGGCGGATATTTTGGAGTCGACCAACTTGATGGAGTGGGCTTTGTTGTTCCTTCTTCCCAAGCAAGACTAACTCCCGCACAAGAGTATATTTTCGAATGTCTATTGTCACTGTTTGGGAATGACGTAAGAGATAATATATTCCTGTTGGCTACTTTCGCTGACAGTCAAGAGCCCAGAGTCCTAAGTGCCATCAGAGAAGGAAATATGCCTATAAAACAGTTGTTCAAGTTTAACAACTCCGCTCTCTTTCCTGAACCACACAAAGATGACATAAACCCAGAATTTGAGAAACTATCCTGGAAAATGGGAATGAAGAACTTTTCTAACTTCTTCAAAGTGTTGAAAAACACCCAACCCGCAAGCTTAACGCTCTCGAAGGAAGTTTTGCAAGAGAGGGGACGATTGGAGGGGATGCTTCAGAATATCCAATCACAGTTGGACAGAAGTGAGACCTATACACTTCACAAATTATGTTAATCTTTTATTAGAAGTTTGCATCATTTCTGACTTCATTATGCAATTAGCTTTGGAACAGGTGGAGCTTCTGAGGAAAGGGCACGCAGCAGTGACTCAACACGGTGAGAAATGGTTGGGACTCAGAAAAAAAGACATGGAGGTAGGTCGGAACTTGGAAGAAGAAGATTCAAATGCAAGTCCCAACTCATCTGATGACGACGAATCGGATTATGAAAACGCTGCCTCTACAATCCCGTTAGGAGTTAGTTCATATCCACGTGACATGATGACCCCCAATGATGATCACCTTTTGACCGTGTTGTCTAAAGGTTACAAGCGAGAGATGCTCAAATTTCAAGAGCTGATCAAGGAAGCACACAAATGCATGCAAAGAATTGATGAAATAGCCCTCCAACCCAGTCCTATCGGGATCACTAGTTACATTGAAATGCTAATATGCAAGGAGCAGAATGAAAAAAAGCCCGGGTCTTCCCAGAGGGTCAAGTATCTTGAAGAGGCGCGTAAAAAAGCGGAGGTTGCCAAGGCCGTCCTGGAAGACTATGATCCGAATGACATGCATGATATTACTGCGTTCAAAATGGATGAGCCAAGTGAAGGTGAACCTCAAAAGAAACCCCTACGGAAACTTGTCAGAAGGCTCAAGAAATTATTTTTTAGCGATAAAATGTAGGCACTCAGAAGTTTTGGCTCATTAAGTACACTGGAAAAGGTCAATCCGTAAGTATAGATAAAACTCATCATCATGACGTTCATGGCGAAAATAAAAATGCTCTAATATATAAGTTTCACTTGTATAATATGACGATGTGGTTATTCCGGGTGTAAGATCATTATTATAAAGAACAATATTTCCGACCTTAAAACTTTGAATGCGGAGCAGCTCTGAACCCGCTTGAAACCTTCCTCTCCGACTGTGATGAAATTGGCTCGCATGATCTTGACTTGAATTTAATCGACATCTTGCGATTCCTATTGATGGTATATTCCACTAAGCATTCCACGCTCAAGTTCTTCAAAACTTGCAAAAAAGGCAAGGAATGTTCGCTTCATTTGAATTATCACGAAGCAGTAACCCCTTCTTTTACATTTGATTGATTTTTGTCATTTAGGAGTACAATTTTACTTCTAACTGCAATTGCGAGGATATACGATGTACATGTGACGCCTTAATATCCAGTAGAGTGTATTAGGTGCCTTCCTGATCGTCCTCCGCCAAGGAATATTTAAGAATTAAAATAGTATAGGGTAAGAGGGGGAAGATGCCACACTCAATTGAACATGTTCCAACTACATCCCATGTCAGAAGAATCGTACAACATACACATAGGGCATCGTTACCCTTCGTGTAAGGGATAAAAAAAACATTAATATGTTTACACAGGATGAAAGTTGTTAGAAAAATTGCATCTACGCCAAAGGTGCGGGTTAGATGCCACTACTACAGGGGTAATATGGTACATATAGAAATAACACCCAATCTAAGCTAGTAGGCAAAGTAAATTATACTAGATATAACTATTTATTAAATCATAAACAGCAATGCATTAGTGACCAACATAAAGGAGTATTTATTTCCACATGTTTCGACCAACGCCACACTTTCTCAAGTTGCTGAAGGTAAGCTACGAGACTTCTTTCATGCTCAGGACCCAGGCAACCCAATAGACATGGTACTCCTTTTACAAGGTATATCTGTGCAATAGATCTTTTCAGTGTTTTGTACAATATATTACTTTTTTATGTTTTGTCGTTTGTAATTTCTTGCTATTTTCTGTAATTAAGATACCCCCAACCATAATATTGCATTTATGACAGCCACTACAATGGATATTTGCAGAGAGCACATTATTCACTGATATATTTTAATATAAATGTGCAAATTAATATGACTGATTTAGACAAATTATGCACATATGCAGGCAAAATTATTCATATTTAACTACTACTTACATCATACTCCATTATTTTAATAATTAAAATTTTCTTCCACAACTATTAGACTGCTATGCACACCATAGTCCATCACACCTCATCATATAGCAGTCATAATATATAGAAGTTGGTAAAAGATGGCACAAGGTGGCATCTTCCCCCAACAAGGATGGTGCCATCTTCCCCACAACCATGCATCCTATTGTAGCATACTAAGTTCTAGGGTTAAGAACATGGGATCCCAAGAAAGCTCACCTGCCTGCCTACTTTGGCCCAGTTCATAATTTCAGCTAGCTTTAATTTCATATTTATTGGCCATTTATCTACAAGGACCTATGTAAGAACATCCTCATATGATATCAAACATGTATATATTGCATACTTAGAGAAATGCTGCTCTACTTGTCACAAAATGCACGCACGTTGCTGAAACGGTTACAGACCCAACAGTTAGGCATGTTCAACCCATTTCTATAGTCTTTGCTGCCCACTACTAATAAACTGTTGCACTACACAACCTGTGGCATCTTCCTCACACTGGAATCTTCCCGGAATTACCTTGGTTATTCTTTAGCCCATTGAATACAAACCCGTTGGACACTCAATGAAAGAAGCAATCAATCGTGCCTGAGATATACGTATTGTACCCTGCCAATGCAGTATATCATTTGAGGAACACAACAGGATATATCAGAAACGTTTAATAATTACCACAATGGTGTAATCGTGATTTGAGTATCATGTGTGCCTCCAGACTCAATTATGTTTATTTGACAATCAATAAACGGTTAAGTTGAACAGAAAGTAGTTTCATTTTAATGAGGTCATTTCTGTACAATGATACATAACTTTATATTGATCAATTAAACGTTTAGTGAGCGTTATGCAAACGGCAGAGAACGAATTTTCTTTATCTGTCTCCCCCCGCAAGTCCCTCTCTCTCTCCCCCTAACACTCCCCTAACAACAGTAATCCGTTTAGGTGATAACCCTCACATCCTCTCTTTCTGTGAGTTAACAGGTCTGAACATTTCCTGTAGAATGCGATTTGGAGAAAGATCCCTTGTGATCATGATTAATTTTCTTGGTATATACTCGCTCCGATTAGTTATGGACTTCTTGCTACCGAAGTATTTTGTTCCTTTTTGAGTGATATTCCGGGAAACGGGTTGTTCCCTATTACTCCAGCTCTTTCGTGGCAAATAACAGTCATTCAAGTCAAGGAAAATATTTATTTGCATGTTGACTTTGTTTGCAACACAACATCTCGCAAGAAATGACTTTGTTGTTCCTCTTGGTGAGGATGGAAGAAACGTTATAATTTCACGGGCGTTTTTGTCTCGTAAAAACACCTTGACTCCATTCGAATTTAATTTTTCTATTTGACTCTCCCGCTTCAGGACTGTACAGTGGATTCCGCTTTTTTGGGACACGTTGGTTCTAGGTCAATTTGCCCCAATTAAGCGGCTACCCCAATAAAGCGAACTTACCTGATAGTATACTAAGAAACCCAGACACGAATGTCCTTTGCTTGTGCAAAAACAAAAATTACGATTCACAAAATGTCCGCATAGTTACTTGTTTCATATCCGAAAAAGCTTCTCTAAAGCACCAATGTCAAGAGCACCATGTCCGATATCATCCAAACCCTTCTCAATAAAGTAGCGCTTAAGGATGTCCACCGAGCGCTCTTACGTGGCCTCTTACGCGAGTCACCTTAGGTAAAGTCTCAGGTTCCTCGTCTGCGACATCCCCTTAGCAAGGCCTCTTGGCAACGATGTCCTCGATTATATCGTTCTCAAAATCATCGTGTTCGGTGAAGCACGGTGCGTTTTCGTCGTTACGTTGGCACCTCTGGACCAGAATAAAGCCAGATCTACGGAAGCTGTTTCCGATGGTCTCAGCCTTAACAGTCGGTCAGCTCTTTACCGCAAAAGACACGGCGAAGAGGAGCGAGGGAGTGGGCGGAAAAGTCCATCTGGGACAGACAGCATAAGTTAATCTTGACCTTGCCCAATAAAGCGGATTTTCGTCCCTAATATACGGCAGATTTAAACGCACTTGCATAAAAATAGTTCCGTTCCTCACAAAATGTCCCGATAAACTGGCTGCCCAATTAACCGATGGACCAATAACGTAGAATCCACTGTATATAACGGCAAATATCTACTTTTCTTTTCACGATTCCATTATTCGCCATGTTAGATAACATCATCATATTTAGAATGTTTTCCAGCGGAATCAATTTCTCCAAAAGAAATTATTCATTATTTAAAATTTTAGGTGAAATACGTTTTAATGCGTCCAGCATTAAAAAGTATTTCTGAATCCCTTAAATTTGCTGAGCAACTTAAGCCAGACTTGTCTTGGCAAAAGGCGATATACAGTTCTCGTATTTCATAAGAAATTGTGCTGAGGGAACGCAGAAAGTGCAAACATTATATAATATACTGGATGCTCATTTAGCAAGAACTACTGGCTTGCATTCCATTAGTGAATCCAGAAGGATTTCATTCAGTGGAAGTCTGAATTACTAAGTTCCCTGCAGAGCCGTATCGAGGGGGATGCGAGCGGTGCGCCCGCGCAAGGCGCCGATTCGCTGCCAAATCAATACAATATATTCTTAAAACCTTTTTGTAAATTCAAGTTCTCGTGAGTTTAGCTAATTAAGGACAGAAAATAACACGCTATGCATTGTTGGTGCAGCCGAAGTTGGAGAGTTATATAGGGGGGAGGGGGGGGGGGGAAGCCGGATATCTCCCACAGGACGCCAAATATCCTCGGTACGGCGCTGGTTCCCTGCACCGGTAAGACTGAGAACTTTGAGGAAAATAGGGGGGTCATTGCAAGGACTGGAGTATCACCTTGTCTTCAATTTCTTCAGTTTTTTGTTGCAGAAGTTTCATACACATTTCAAGTGAAATTGAACGAATGAGACTATGCACGAGGTAAATTCTCTCCTGACCTTACATAATGTTTCCACTTAGACTTTTGCGGGATGGTAGAGTACGGTTCAGGATTAGGTTGCCCAGAGTTCGTTGAATTGAGCCCAGAGTTGCCTAGGGAATCTTTACCCAATTCGGAACGAAAAGTCAAAATGTGAGAAAATATTGCACACGTTTACGAAATCTCACACTGCGTGACAATATTGCACGTTTAGGACAAATCTGCACATTACGTGACAATATTGCACACGTTTTGACGAAATCTCGCATTTCGTATCAATATTGCACGTGTTTGAACAAATCGCACAATACTGCACCTTTCAAGACGAAACTTCGCATTACACTGCATTGCACGTTTAGGACCAGACCTCGAAATACGCAAATATTCATATACAGTAGCATATTTTACAGGGGACATGGGCCGTCCTTGGCGCTTCAGGGAAAGAGCCTGACGCTCCCTTGGAGGCAATACTTGTTCCCCCTTATATCACTCGGGTGGGGTTTGGCTCCCCCGCTCTGCCGACCTCCACCCCTCCTCCCACCGACTCTTGAGCCAAAATAAGTCACTGTGCATATAGTTTTATAAGTATGCAATATAAAGTTTAATCATGAAGAAAACGGAAAGTTCCAGTGGATCATTCTACGAATGGACGGACTCATAAATGGTAAGGCGAATTGTATGGCTGAAGCAAGGGTAAATCAAGAATCCAATAGGCATATCAACTTTCGTAGACGTCAAATGACCATGTATTAGGTGGCTTACCAGGTTGCTTTTCTACAAATCCCCTTACAAA